GAATAAAGTGTAATTAATAAAAGTTAAAAAAAGATTTCTATTAATTTTAATGAATATTTATATTCTAATAACAATTCTCATTTTAAAAAGCCAGTTTACTGGATCTACAATATTTGTGAATTTTATTCTTCTTTTAGTTAGATGGTTCAGCTTTAGAAGAACTGATTATGTTTTCAAGGCTTGATGAACCTATTTACTAATTCCCTTTAAAGGCTCTCAAGTCATTTTAAGAAATTTGTTACACAACTATTTCAAAGTCTAATTAGGATGGCTTAAAAATAAGCCATCCTAATATTATGTAGGCTTATTAAACTCGATTTTTATTTACAATTATATCATAAATTTGTGATTATAGTAACTCTAAATGTGCAGTGGGGATACATGCTTCCCCAACAACTACCTAAGCTGTATAATTAGGAAGCTATGAACAAACATGAATAGTCTTCACTCTGACTAACATCTCTCTCTCTCTTCTTCCCCTCCCCCTCTTCTCCTCTCCCTCTTGCATCTCTCTCTCTCTTCCTCCACTTTTCCCTCCCCCTCCCTCTCTCTGCCCTTTTTATTTCCCTGTTCAGATGCTTGCATTTTTCCCTTGAACTCCCTTAAGTCTTCATTTGAGAATTCAGGAAAGAAGAATCAGGAAAATACCTTTCATGATATTTATACACCATTTTGAATGTAACATCTAACGACCCACACATGTCCTGAGGTGTACCTAAGAGCCATCTAGATCCATGATCTTAACATTGGAGTCTTTATGTTATTCTCTATTAGTTTATCTGTACTGTCCTTTCAAATGCCTTAACTGTACCCAGCAATCAAGGCTTTAGTTGGCAGTCATACATGATGTAAGCTGTTGATTCTTTTATGTAATGTATTTCAGGTGCTTACAAAAAAAAGTTTAAGTAAGGAGTGTTGTTTCTAATAAAAACTCCAAGAAAATATTTTGAGTAAGTTTATATCCATAAGACTTTCAAGCAGCCATTCTGATGTGATCTGATAGACTAAGATCAGAAGGAAGGAGAGGAGGACCTCCCTATCAGTGGACTTGGGGAGGGGCATGCGTGAAGAAGTGGGAGGGAGGGTGGGACCGGGAGGGGAGGAGGGAGGGGCTTATGGGGGGGATACAAAGTGAATAAAGCGTAATTAATAAAATAAAAAAAGACTTTTCAAGGTTTGGTTTGCCATTTACTCAATTCTCTAGTCTAGTGGCGAATATCTAGTCTGTTTTGTATCTGTAGTTCAGCAGAAAAGGAAAAGCTGTCTGTGCGCTAAGATGAGTATTGCAACAACAGATACTCACATAAGACTTACTTTCTTTTTTTCTCTTCTATGGGGAAAGGCCAGGCCAGACAATATAGCCCCCAACTAAAAGCAGACTATCAACAATTTTTCTTGTGAATAAACTCTATTTAGCATGGACCTAGTGATAGTTCACACCCCACACTCTCATGTAACAGCTATTTATTAAAAATAGTTATGTGCCAGGCTTGGTGAGAAAAAAAAAATGGCTGAATTAAAGCTTGAAAATCAAATTTGCTTTGAGGAGTTTGGAATATAATTATGCTTTCAATATCATTTGTAGCATGTGTTATTACTATTTAATGACAGAGGCTAATTCTATCATTACACACTAGAAACTTTAAACCTTTCTCTCCAGCATTTATTATTCATTCAAATGCTGTGTGAGGTCTAGCATAAGTCCAGGAATCCTATTACGTAATTTCAGATAGGAGAAATTCAGTGTGTAACTTTAGTTTTCTTTCTCTGGGTGACTTCCGTATACATGTAATCTTTCTGAAGTAACTGGAATTTAGCCAAGACTCTGTCGCTTTTTCAATCCACAAGTGACATCTCAGCTCATTTTAAGTACAGAGTGAAATGAGGCGGAGATGGCTTTTCAGGACATAAGGACAAATATTTGAGGAATGTCCCCATGGGCTGGGCAAGAAATACAACTAGGACTGAGAATCTCCGGGTAATAAGAGCTCACTGAAGTGAGGAAGAGAACAGAGGCACTAACACTTGTAATAAACAGCTCTGGATATTATTATGAATAAATGAAAGCAAGATGGAAGTTGACAGTTCTCTATTTTTACATTTAAGAATTAAAGGTCTAGCAATGAATAAAGATAAAAGTCTATTGAGATTAATAAGTCTAGCATTAGGAACAAAATGACCCCCATGGACAGGTGAAATCGATCTGGCATTTCCCAGAAGAGAAATGGACTTTTAGAAATGGCTTACTTCTTTCAGGGCACTTCAACTATTTAAATAATTTAAGGCTATTTCTCGTGAAAATGGAATCAATTTTCTCTAAACCTGAAGCACATTAATAAGTATTCTGAACTCCTTTCCCTCAAGCCAAGTGGTAAGTGAGAGCCATGCAACCTTGAAAGCTATTACATTGTAGAAAACACAGTTTTCTCTCCCTGGGGGTGGAAAATAGTTTTTGGTTGACGGTAAATTTAACATAGGTAATAGGAAGTTCCTGTGAAGATGCTGTGCTGAGAAAAAGCCTTTGGTAGGGAGGAGCTAATAGCAGTTCCCAGGGACTTATGGTCCTCTCACCTTTTATATCCATGAATATTTAAATGTGTCTCTCCATGTTTCCTAATTTTTGCCTCCCATAATGATTTCACCCAGCTTCCTTGACTTCCCCATTTTCTGTTGTGAGTTGTAATTCTCATGGTGGTATGTCCCTGAAATGGTAATGGGGAATATGCTCTATCTGATAAACATGACCTCCCATCTCAGGGTTGCCCCTCCTCAGGACATGGTGATCTCCTGTCACCATCCTGGGAAATGTAATCTGAGTAAAATAAAAGTTATAGGTAGTGGTACTTTGAAAGAGGACGTCCTATAAGCTCATATATTTGAATGTTTTCTACCCAGTTGTTGGTCAGCTGTTTGGGAAGGATTAGGAGGTGTGTCTTTGTTGGAGGTGTGTTATTTGAGGGTGGGCTTTGACATTTCCAAAGCCCATGCCAGGTTCAGTTTGGCTCTCTCCCCTGCCTGCTCCTGATGTAAGCTTTTGGCTACTGCTCTAATACCATCTCTGCCTTCCTGCCTGTCACCATGATCCCGCACCATGAAAGTTCTGGACTAACCTTCTGAAACTGTAAGCAAGCCACCAGTTCTCAGACTGTGTGTCATGATCATTGTAAAACTCATATTTCTGACACTCTTAGGAATCCCAATCATAAATTTATTTTGGTTGCTACTTCGTAATTGTAATTTGCTACTGAGTGGTGTCTCAGTTCTATTTTTTTTTTAAGGTTCAATCTTCTTTTATTTTCTTTTCCAGTGTTTTTAATTAATTATTTTTATTAATTACAATTTATTCACTTTGTATCCCAGCTGTAGCCTTTCCCTCAGCCCCTCCCAACCTCATCCTCCCTCCCTCTTCTCCTCCTATGCCCCTCCCCCAGTCCACTGATAAGGGAGGTCCTCCCCTTCCATCTGACCCTAGGCTTATCAGGTCTCATCAGGACTGGCTGCACTGTCTTCCTCTGTGGCCTGGTAAGACTGTTCCTCCCTCTGGAGGAGGCAATCAAAGAGTCAGCCACTGAGTTCATGTCAGAGACAGTCCCAGTTCTCATTACTATGGAACCCACTTGGATAGTGATCTGCGATGGGCTACATCTGTGCAGGGGTTCTAGGTTAGCTCCATGCATGGTCCTTGGTTGGAGTATCAGTCTCAGAAAAAACCCCTGGGCCCAGATTTCTTGGTTCTGTTGTTCTCCTCCTGGAGCTCCTGATCCCTCCAGGTCTTTCCTCCCTCTTCTTTCATAAGATTCCTTGCACTCTGTCCAAAGTTTGGCTATTAAGTCTCAGCATCTATCTTGATACCCTTCAGGGGAGAGTCTTTCAGAGGCCCTCTGTGAAAGGCTTCTGTCCTGTTCCCTGTGTTCTCCTTCTTCCCATGTCCATCCCAGAAAGGCAAATGGGGTATCTCAGTTCTTAAGACCACAGGAAATATGTATTTTGGGATGGTCACAACCCACAGGTTGAGTACCGCTAAATTAAACACTTTCTTCTAAAAGCTGCCATGGTAATGGTGTCTCCTCATACCAATAGGACAGTAACTAAGACATATGTACTTTTAAGTTCTTAAAAATGGTTTATAAATTAAACCATTGAACCCAATAAAACATAATAGCTAAGTTCAACCACAGTCATCATCTGTAAGCTTAAATGACTGTAACAAAGACTCTTTTCTTTAGTACACTTTAATGATTACCCATAATTCTTTTTTCTTTTTTAATTAAATTTTTATTTTTTAATATTAATTACAGTTTATTAACTTTGTATCCCAGCTGTATCCCTCTCCCTCATTCCCTCCCAATCCCAACCTTTCTCTCTCCCTCCCTCCCTCATCTTCTCCCTACTCCTTTCCAAGTCCACTGATAGGGGAGGACCTCCTCCCCTTTCATCTGACCCTAACTTATCAGGTATCTTCAGGCCTGGCTGCAAAGTCCTCCTCTGTGGCCTAGCAGGGCTGCTCCTCCCTCGGGTGGTGGGGGAGGTAAAAAAGCCAGCCATTGAGTTCATGTCAGAAATAGTCCCCTTTCCCCTTACTAGGGTACCCACTTGGATACTGAGTTACCATGGGCTACATCCGAGCAAGAGTTCTAGGTTATATCCATACATGGTCCTTGGTTGGAGATACAGTCTCACAAAAGACCCCTGTGTCCAGATATATTTATTCCTTGTGAATTTCTTTCTGTTATGTGGTCCCCAAGAGAATGGAACTAGGCTGAAGGCAAACATCTTCACCTTCTAAGGCTGTCCAAAGTTTTAAACAGAGGAAATCATTATTTCTGTTTGATGAATCTATCTGTGGGCTTGTAGGACACATTATGGACTGAGAATCTAGTTTTTATCACATGCCGAGTCTAACAATTTTCTTTATGAAAAGAACAAAATTGTGTACTTAGGCTTATTCCCCTGCTTCTATTTAATGACTAATATAGATTCACCACGGAGGTCCACCTTACCTTCCTGCTGGGCTAGAGCAGCTGTCCTCACTTTCCCAGGCATCATTCTTACTCCGAGGAACAGGGGGCTGCAGCATTTCAGCCGCAAGGGGATCAGCATCGTTTTCTGCTCTGCCAATCCACTCCCCAATCACACGAGGTCTCAGAAGGGAAGAATTGAAAGCCACTGTTTCCTGTAGGTGCAAATAATAATAAAAAAAATGAATAAATCGAAAACCACTGTTTTTGATTACCTTTTCTTATTTACAGATAACAGGAAAATAGCCTCCAGTGTTTGGGCTCACTGGAATTAAAATGTCCCTTCACTTCTCGACATTCCTGCTCAATTCCTTCTTCTGTGATTGAGGCTAATTCCTGAAGATCTGTGGGATTAAGTATTTAGGAGTGAAATACTGGATTTGGATTTCCGGGACAGCATGTGTGTTCTTAGAAAAAGGGGGGCTGGCATTCTCGGTGGAGGGAAGAGAAGGCCTGCCCTGCCCTGTGTAAGGGTGTTGTGTGACAGCTGGGAAATGGCGAGGAAATCTCTCTGCAAGGAATTAGCTGCAGGTAGAAACCACAGGAGGTTGTGGGGTGGGTAGGCTGTGTTTCTCACACTGTGATGCATTCTGGCCTTTCAGGGACTCCGTAGATATACGAAGCAGGTCCATACCAATGGCAATTAGATTGGATTAGCTAAAAACATGTTGGTCTCTTTTCATACTCATGAAATGAGGCAACGCATTAAATTTACCTGTTTGCTATGACATACCCAAGAAAACAGTGATGGAGAATGTTCAGTATATACAATTCCTAGACATATTTTAAGTGAAAAAGTCAGGTTAAACAGAAATGCCAAATGCTCTAATGTTTGTCTGAAGCTTCATGTAGACTTACATTCATCATTTGATTCTTAATTCAGCCATGTGTTCATTTACTAGTTTTTTAATGTGTACATAAATTTACTTGTAGCCCATTGTCATTAAACTAATAATTTCAGTATTTCTGAAATAGTGACTTTTTCACCAACATTCTCTATTTATTTGTTTATTTATTTAACATGCTGATAGCAGTTTTCCCTCCCTCCTTCCCTCCCAATCCGTCCTCCCCATCTCCTCTCCCCCCACCCCATCCACTCCTCCTCTGTTTCTCTTTAGAAAAGATCAGGTTGCTATAAATATCAACCACCCATGGTATGTCAAGTTGCAGTAAAAGTAAACACCCTGTCTCCTACTAATGATAGACGAGGCAACCCTATAGGAGAAAAGGGTCCCAAAAGCATGCAACGGAGTCAGAGAGCAACTGCCTTGCACTTTCTCTTAGAAGTCCCACAAGAAGACCAAGCTTCACAACTGTAGCATACATTCAGAGGGCCTAGCTTAGTCCAATGCAGGTTTCCTCGTTGCCAGTTTGGTCTCTGTGAGCCCCTATGAGCCCAGGTTAGTTGATTCTGTGGTCTTTCTTGTGATGTCCTTCACCCCTCTGCTCCAACAATCTTTCCTCCCCCTTCTCTGTAGCATTCCCCAAGCTCCACTTAATGTGTGGCTGTGGGTCTCTGCAATCTCTTTCCATCAGTTGCTGGTAAAACCTCTCTGATGACGATGGGGCTAGGCACCAACCAATGAGTGTAGCAGAATACCATTAGGAATCACTTCATTGCCTATTTTCCCCATTTGTGTTTGGTTTTATTCTAGGCTTCTGATTATCCAGCCTCTGCTTCCTAGTCCTCCAGGCAGTGTCAGGGGTCAGCTCCCTCTCATGGCATAAGTGAATATTAGCTGAAAAGTAATAAAATAACCACGCTACAATCCACAGATGCAGCGAAGCTAAATAGCAAGGAGGGTTCAAGAGGGAACATGTGAATCTCATTGTGAAAGGGAAATAGAATAGAAATCATGGATGGAGGAAGGGTCTGGGTGTGAGCATGGAAGTGGAAACAGGAGAGATTAGGTTGGGGCAAGAGAGTCCTGGGAGAAACAACTAGAATCTGGAAAGGGGATGAGCTAGAAACCCAGTGCAATGGAAACTCCCCCAATTCTTGGTGACCCTAGGGCAACCCTATTGCTGAGACTCCTAGCAATAAGGGATTTGGAACTTAAGCCAGCCATCTTCTGTGACAGGGCAAGACATCCAGTGGAGGGATTGGGACACCAACCCAGCCACAAACCCTCAACCTACACTTTGTCCTGCCTACAAGATGTGCTGGTGTAAGCTACAGAAATTGTGGGAGTGGCCAAGCAATGACTGGTCCAGCCTGGGACCCATTTGCTAGTTTTTACTAAGGCTTAGTATGTGCTAAGAACTGACCACTGTGCTCATCAAAATCAATAGCAAGGAGGATCAGCTTTTTATGACTATTTAATCTAAAAGAAGAGGTAGGTGATTTTAACATCTTGGCCTGGCATTTCCTTATCTTTTCAAAATTCCACGATAAATATCTACTGGTCAGCATGCTTGAAATATTCTGATTTGAGAAATTCATTCTGCTTAAATCCCCTCTGCTGAAAACTTTCACTATTAGAAGAATTTTTAACTAATCTTGAAAAAATACAGACGTGGTGTTCTGGGCCTTTATGAATCACAAAATGTTATGCAACAGTAATGTAGAACACAATATATACAATATTTAAATATCCAAATGTAATAAAAACACAATATTTGAAACAATGTAATAGTATGTAATAGTTTAGATACTAACAAACATTAAGACCACATGTGACTTAGAGTATATCTAAAGGACATTTCTCTGAGTTACAGGGAAAAGCTGGGAATTTAATTAAGCGTTATTAATTAATTTTATTTACACAAGGGGGCAGAGTAGACACAGATTTTCATTGCTCTCAGCTCACAGGAGTATAAGAGTGCTAAAAAGAAAGTTACAATTACAAAAGCAAAACAAGTAGCCATAGGAACTGTGAAATAGTGAAACAGAAAAGATGAAATAGTTCTTCAAATTTGGCTAAACCCAAATGCTGAGAACAGCAGAGATTCAGAAAAACCCTTGGTTGCTTGCTGGGAAGTTGAATGAAGTGGTAGCCACCACTGTTGAGACATGAAGCACGCAGAGGGTATAAATGGCTTAATATTGGGGATGGTTAGCTCCAGCTGGCACTAAAATTTAGTGAGAAATACCTGACCATCAGAGCCACACTCAGGGTCAGGGCAGTTGGGAGCCACTGTCTTACAGGATTGAAAATAGGATTCGTGCTTTATTAAATTGCACAAAGCTCTTTTTGTGGTGGTATCAATGAAAAGATGGAAGAAATAAATACTACTTTAAAATAAATTTGGCTTTGAAAATTCTTGAATTTCATCTGTTCACATGCATTAGACTGAAGAAACATTTTTCTTCGTGTATTTTATTTAGATTGAATTAAGTTCAATAAACATTTCTGTGTATATATCTTTCTGAAAGTGTTTTAATAAAGTGAACTACTTTAAATAGTATATAATTATACCACAGTAAATAAAATTAAGTATACTTAAACTCACATACACACATGTACACTCATACAAACACAAAGAAAATATGTGTACAGTGTGTGTGTGTGTGTGTGTGTGTGTGTGTGTGTGTGTGTGTATGTCTGTGTAGTCCTGGTTGGCATGCAACTTAAACTCACTATGTAGACCATGTTGACCTGAACTCACGGAGGTCTGCCTGCCTCTGCCTCCCACCTGCTGGAATTATAGGCATATGCCACCATATCCAATTAAAATGTGTACTATTAATAAAAAAAAATCTTTTTGAAATCTTTTTTAGGTTCCTGGATGAACATTTCACTTAAAAACTGAAGAATAATATCTGTAAATGTGAATTCTTTAGAAACACAAAACCACATGTCCTTCTGCTCCCTTCGGGGTTGAGCTCCCCAATCTCAAAGAGTTCTGAGTCATGGTTAGAGTGGCAGGAAGTGAAAGGTATCCCGTGACACTATACAATAGGAGACGGAATCCTGGACTTGCCTAAATTCAACAGCAAAAGCATTCCTACGCAGAAAACCCCACCCCCCTCCAGAGGTCACAGCTGCGCTTGGCTTTGCCCATTAGCCATGAGTGAATCCAGGAAACAGCTGTTTCACCCCAGGCTCATTCTTCCAGGAGCACGCTGTCTACAGTCTAGCCCAAAATTCAACTGCTCTGACAAGCGGGGCAACTGACATGCGTGGGACTGTAAATGTCCCCCAAAGTCTGTGTGATAGAGATTTTGTCTCCAGCTTGTGGGGCTTCCTTGAAGAGAAAGGCCTTTGGGGGGACAACTTTGGGTCATGGGAGTGTACTCTAGACGTAGACATTGGAGCCTCGCTCTCCTCTCTTCCTTCTGCTCCCAGACACCACGAAGGACAGAGCTCACTCCCCTGTGTGCCCTCCATCATGAAGTTCCGTCTTGCCACAAGCCGAAGTGATGGAGCAAATGACCATCAATTAAAACTTTATGACCCTGCAGCCAAAACAAACAGCGGACATCTAAATACTGTAAGCAATGTGAAGAGTTCTGAGTTATGATTACAACAACAGGAAATGAGAGCTACCCAGGGAGGGTATAAATTAGAACACAGAATCCTGTGACTTGGTCTGTTTGGTTGCTTCATGGGGTGATAATAAACAAAGTAGGAATTGATGTAGCTTCCAAGTGGATATAAAAAGGATTAATTCTGTCACAGTAAGTGTTACAACAGCAGCAATTAAAAAGGAAACTTACACTAAGACTGATTTTGAGATAAAGTGGATTTTTTTTTTGTGAATGAGAGATTCTTTTTAGAGAAGATGTTTGACTCGCCATTAATATAGAGACAGGAAGTACTGAAGTAAGAGTAATAGAGGAGATAAGAGTCAGAAAAAGAACAATGAGAAGTTTAAGCTGCTTTTGTTGTTCTAAAATAGTATAAAATGGTTCCAAGGTGAATCATTAGGCTGTGGGAAGCTGAGTTTGTTAGATGGTGGCATTTGGATTACCAAGATGGAGGAAGCAGTGTGAAAGCAGGAATAATAATTCTGAGTATTGTAAGCTTGGGGTTCAGGGCAGTCTCTGTGTGCTGGGGGGAGGGGAGGATCCTTGCTGTGCAGAGGCTTCATGGACTGCTGAAACAGGGCAAGAGCCGGTGCTGAAATGTGAGTGTGAAGTAAATCCTCAAAGAAGAATCCATCACATGTTTAACTTGATCAGTCTAAAGCACATGTGTGAGATAAAGAAATG